ACATATTGAATCTATTATCAAAAATCAGAAATATATTTCTAAATACATTGAAACCTATAAACTAGCTTTGATCAATATAACTGATCAATTTTATAAATACACTGTGTATTTAAGTATGCTAGATCAAATATTTCTAAATGCAAATGTAATTATCTCCTTTCTTGATAACGTCGAAAATGCAATCACTTTCGCAAAATTACATACGGTTGACCCTGATATTTTAACAAGTCAAAATTTGAAAGAAATCATTAGTGAGCTTTACAATCACTATAGTCCTGACGAAATACTTCAGTTAGATGTCCATTCATGGTATTCAATTATTCAAACTGTTATTTTTCAAAAAATAAAATTATCTTTACCATATAATTTCCTATAGTTCATCCCAAAACCTGAAACAAATATCATAATCATCCAAAAAAAACCTTACTTGCCTCTTTGAGAAAACACTTTCCAATATATGAACCAATCCCGTACACAAATCTTGGACATATACCTCTGCAATCAAGAAAACTTGAGTTTCCACCCAGAAAAAGATTGCATTGCCGCGCTTATTCACGACAAGGATGCTAGGTGTCCCCAGATGCTGATACAACCACCCACCCAAATATTTAATCCTTCGAGCCGGATTACTTTGTTTTCTGTTGAAAAAAGTTACCAGTTTTTAATAAATTCTGCATTGTCGTCACCTGAATTGTATTATTGCATTGCATTTAAAACTCTCATTTTGATTAGTTCGCTTCGCTTTCGCATTTTTGTTTCTTAGAATCAACATACGCCATAAATTGCCGGTAAACATGGTTGCCAAGTGTTTCTAGAAATATCATTGCTGCTTGAGATTATCTAAACAACAAATATATATATCGGCTGGAGTTCACCATCACTGTGTTTTGAATTTTAGTCTATCTACCTTGAATGAATTTTAAATATTTCGCTATTATTACTAGGTGTTAACAATTCAAAATGGCAGATAAGTTGAAGAAAGCACGTTTATACAGGAATACTCATTTGAACGAAGTTCATATTTTAAGTGATATTGCTAATAGAGCTCGTACAGATAGATCTC